GTGACAGGGACCGGCTCCCGTTTCCCTGACGTATTGTTTTCTTCATGCAGCCAACTGCGCGGTGGCCTTCCTCACCACAGTGAAAACAGTGGGGACAGTCGGGGCGGTCTTGTTCTATGCACTTTTCACAGCCATACTTTCTTTCTCTGTGGTGATCGGTTTTGATTTTCTTGTACTGGCTGCTCTGTTCAGCTGTTATTTGTAGTGACTGTGTCATTTGTTCAACAATGCTTGCAAGTTTTTCCAGTTTCTCTGACAGCTGCTGGATCATATCCACCTTAGGTCTTTTTCCTGCATTTTCCTCTTTCAATACAGGACACTGCATACCGTTAATCTCAACTTGTGTGCTGTGCACATTGGTGTTTCTCTGACGGGTGACTGATCCTAGACGACGCTGTCTTTCACTTTCATCACTCATTACTTTCTTCATTTGCTTAAGGATAGCCTCATCTGTGACATTGGCATCTGCAAGGAGTGGTTTTAACTCTCTACGAATGTCACTATGTTTGTGGCCCAGTCCATGATACACAGTATGAAGAAATACATCCTGAACTGTACTGGCTGAGTACTTTACATCTGAGTTGGTATGCTTCGAGGTGAGCAAGATCTTTTGTTTGAGACCTATGACTCGATACAGAAACTGTTGTGGTGTCTCACTGTCACTTTGTTTGGTGCACATGAGTTCCTGGAAGAGTTCTGTGTTGTTTTGCTCACCAAGGTGAGAATGGAGGAAGTCTTTAAGCTCCTCTACTGTCAGTTCATCCTTGTTCATTAGCATGTCTTTGAAATTACCAGGTTTGATAACTCTCATGACAGCCCTCACAATTTCGGCATCATTAAACTGTTCTTTGAGACCCTCTTCAATCTGGCGGCAGATGCTGTTATAACTGATGTCTGATCCCTGGTCTCCAATCTGGCCCCCGTGAATCTTAAACTCCCTGCGATGGAGGTAAGACAAGTCTCTTAGGGACACCACCTTGTCATGTCTCATGGGCGCTTGAGTTTCAGCTAAGCTGTCATTGTGTGGTGTGCTTCTACAATGAGCCTGTGATGGTGTCTGAGAGGTGAGTTGAGAACCTGATGTGGGCATGTACTGTTTAATTTTCTTAGAGAGCTCTTCGTAACTGAAGAGTATTTTTTGTAGTTCTATATCACGTTGGGAAACAGCAGTAGAGCTGGTATTCTGGGTCACACTGTCAGTTACTTCTGTACCACTATTATGACCATCTTCTAAAAACATTGCATTAGTTGGACTCACTTCAACACTGACATCATGAGGCTGAGCATTTGGACATAGATCACATGAATCATTACCAGTGGCAGCCTGTATCTGCAAATCAGAAACATGACCCTGGGTAACAGCATCAACAACATCTTTCAGTGACAATAAGTGTGACATGCCCTGATCTTCTGACTCTAATAAAGCCTTACTGCACATGAAACCACTGATGTACTCGAAGCAGCTGTCTTCATCCCCTGACTTAAGGCAAGACTGATCCACTCCTGGCACTGGACCCAGAGACTTGGCAATCTGGAACAGTTCATCAGCAGAGAGGGTGAGAAGGTCTTTCTTGATGGCCCACACCAAGCTCCTCCTCTCATCTTCCGCCATGGTTGCTTCCCTATCCCTTGCAGTGGGTCACACAATGTCAGCTTTCGTACAGTTTTTGCCTTGATGGGCGATGGTCCGAGCACCAAGCAGCACCAAGCAGCACCAAGCAGTCCTTATTTGTCTTTTTTTCCTTACTTCTTGTCCATTGCACTAGTTGTGACACATGGCCAATGCATTTCCTGCACAATCAGTTGCATCTATTCTCCATCAGGCAGCAGCAGGTGTAGGTAACAACCAGCAGACTGGAGTTGTTGGTGTTTTCTTGCCACTCTTGGCCCAAAGTACCGGTATTACTGGATCAGCTCCCAGCCTCAAAGGCAGGACTGATCCCGGACGAGCCCCCAGAAAACTGTTACAGGTACCGGGTGGCAGCACCTGTAGACAGCTATATATGTGTCCTGTAAACAGGAGAGAAATGATCAGACAGGGAGACGTGGCTTGCCGTTTCCTGAATACTCCGCCATTTTTTATTCAAATTCACAATTATGCACTCCTTTCATTACTTTTACAGTATTACAACTGTGTATTTACTTATTCTTAACATAGCTCACACACACATTCTCCATAACACATCCCAATGTTATAAACATGATGAATTTTCTTGTAAGACTTGGTTCAAAATGAATTCCAACAAGACAAATCTATAAATCTCAACTAGCTTGAAAGAATGGTATAATCAGCACCATCTCGACATGTGCACTGAATTCACGGAAACACTTTATGGCAGAAACAAGATACTAAAACAATACAGAATAACGGTGGAGCCGATCACTAATATCACAGAGCATAGGAGGTGTGCGACCCAATGTGCGACCCAAACTAACATGCTAACCTTAGCATGCTGCTAAAGCCGTAAACAAATACTTACAAAAGTGTAATTTACTGTACTACACAATGTTGTACGCTTTCACTTTCCAACCGTAATGGTTAGTCTATGCTATATAATGGATGTGATTGCTATTATATTCTATTTCGGGCACGATACGAACCTGTAAACAGGAGAGAAATGATCAGACAGGGAGACGTGGCTTGCCGTTTCCTGAATACTCCGCCATTTTGAGAAAACAGCGCGGAGCATGCGCTTCAGGCTGCTAACAACAGGCCAAACCATGGTCTCACACTGCCACCTATTGGTATAAAAATGAAGCGTCCGCTACAAATATCCCAGGGTAGTTACCAAGTTTCCTGTTAC